AGTTCCTGAAATACGGCTAGGGTTTTCTTACCTCCAGGCCTTTGTATATTCTCTACTCTCTGCCTGGAATGAAGTGTCTTTTCAAGTCTCTTTACATGACCAATGACTTCTCATCTTTTAAATTTCAGCTCAAATGTCATCTCCACTGTAAGCCTTCCCTCTCTATCTATAATAGGACAGCCGCTCCTATCATTCTTAGAATTTTGTTTCCTTTGTAGCACACATAGCTTTATGTGAATTGATCTGGGTTTTTTTATGTCAGGTCCACCAGACTGTAAGCTCCAATAAGAGTAGGAGTGAATATGTATTACTATTCACCATTACAAATTCCCAATGTCTAACACTATCCCTAGCATTAAAATGCCTAATAAAATGGGTAATTAGTATTTTTATTTCCCTAATGGGCCCTTCCTCTATTCAGATGACTATGACTGCTGCCACCACAACCACCATCACCACCACTGCCACCCCACCACCACTCTTACCCCTTGCATATCCTTACTCATCTCTCCTGTCTCAACTAAAACAGTATCTTACTGATGAAGTCTTCCTTTCTTGAACCTACACAGTCTCTCCTCCATTTATTCACTTAGTCATCACTGGCTGCACCTCCACCATAAAAATGATCTTTTTGTATTATACGCGGGGTTTTTTTTGGGGGGGGGAGGTGGTTGTTGTTGTTTTTTTGGTGGGGAGAGGGCCTGCAGGGAGTTGTTTTTGTTTCACATTTCTATCTTACTACTTACTACTTTGGGAAGCCTTAACCCGAAGAAAAATCTCGTCATTTCTATGTCCTAGTGTACTACTGGGCACATAATATAATGCTATCAGTTAGGATAACTATAATGACTAACATTTATTGAGTGTTTAATATGTGCTTGACACTCTTCTTAGTTCTATAGTGAGTGAGTGAATGAATAAATGGATACACTTCTTGGTCACCAACCTCAAAGTGGTCAGTCTGACAGGGACAGAAGACAGGTATACAGGCTAATGCAGAATAAACACACCCCAAGGCCAAATCAACTGCCTTATCCTGTCCCTCTATGCCTTCAAATGTTTGAGTATGCTTTTCTCTGAGTCCATAAATGTCAGGTTTCTTCAAACTCACTTAGAATACTTCCTTCGATTACTTACAATCCACTTCCTGCCCTTGGTGCCTGGAAACAATTTCTAGGATGTCACCACAAGCAGTATTAAACTGCCACACCGTTTCCTGCTGTGTGTCTGCATTATCAGTTAAATTGCTTCATATTAACCACATTCCAGTCCACTGGGATCACTTAAACACCAACTAAGATTTAAATGTAGCTGTCAAAGATACTAGTCACCACTGCTCCTTTTATCCTTTGTCTGCTCAGGTTTAAGGCTTAGCAGCTTTCCAGGATATCACCTGTATAACTGGTGACCTTTTCTTTCCTTTGTCAAGTAAATGTTTGGTGTGAGGCAAAACAATGTTCCTCTAAATAAAGTAAAGATGAACTGAACACTCTTTAGAAAACTTAAGAAACTGTGCCTACACCAGGGCAAGTTGACTTAAAAACTTATAAAACTCTTCTTCCTCAAGAGTTCAAGTAGCAAAGTGTTCTTTTAACTCTATGTACACTAAATTAGGATCTTAATTCAGGTCCTAACATATTTCTTAAATGCATTCCATAAACTCTTCCTAAACAATCTGCGTGTCAGGTACTGGGTTTGACACAGGGAACTCAAAGACAAAAAAGAGTCCCTACTCTCAAAAAGTTCATGTCAGGCTGAGTATGGAAGACAAAGGACTGTATTTAGTGCTATAACACAGGGGCCACTGAACAGATGAGGAGCCCTCGCCTAGGCTGGGAGAGAGGATGCTCAGATGAGGAGCCCCTGGCCTAGGCTGGGGAGGGGGAGGAGGACTGGCCTCAGGGCAGGCTTCTAGGAGATGGTATTGGATCTTAGGCCTATAAACTCCCATTCTTTCATTTTAAAAATGTGGTTCCTATGGCCGAAACCGGTTTGGCTCAGTGGATAGAGCATCAGCCTGAGGACTGAAGGGTTCCGGGTTCGATTCTGGTCAAGGGCATGTACCTTAGTTGCAAGCACGTCCCCAGTAGAGGGTGTGCAGAAAGCAGCTGACTGATGTTTCTCTCTCATTGATGTTTCTAACTCTTTATCACTCTCTCTTCCTCTCTGTAAGAAATCAATAAAATATATTTTTTAAATGAAATATATTTTTTTTAAATGTGGCTCATAGTACTTACATCATTGGACAGTTATGAGGATTTGATGAAATGGTGTAACAGATTGTACTCAACCAGCCTTAGCTTGAAAGGAAAAGTCTGATCAGGCACCAAATCTCAATACCTACGCCTAGTAACTCAATTGATCATACAGCAGGCACAAGCTTCACAATTACACAGGTTATTGTTTTTAATCACTTTTATTTTTTACTAAAAACAATGTTAAGCCCTGCCCTGCATGTTAACAGTTAAATTCCTTGATCATCAAAACGTTCTTCTCCATTACCTGAAACATCCAGTTCTCTGGCATTTCTGGTATAAAATATACTTTTATTTTTATAACAGACATTTCTTGGTCTTTTGATAGAGAAAGTGTAAAGAACACTAACAATTACTGAACTTTTAATATGGGCCCTGCAGTCATGGTGATACTATAGTTACGGTTCATAATGACCCTACAACATAGTTTTCCCCATTTTATCCTCAGGGTGAATAAGGAGCTTCGTAGTTAGTAGACAAAAGAACTGGAATTTGAATCCAGATCTGATTCTACATATCATCCTGACTGGGCCACATAGCATCAGAGATAAGCAAGAGAAAACTCGAACAGCCACTGTGCTCTCCTGCTTAGAGGGACCGCAGGGCACTCTCTGCCTCCTATTCTCCCACCCACAAGATTGTCCTACACAATGGAGCCTGCACACTTAGATTTCACCTCAGCGAGGCGAACCCCTTGAGCATCGTGTCTTCTTTCCTATCAGGATGGAATGGTCAGCAGCAACCAAAGCTATGCCGTCCAACAAGTAGGGCTGCACCTAACTAGAAGGTTTCCTGGCCACCTGCCTGGGCATCCCCATTCCTACCTGCAGGCAAAGTTGCATAGTCCACAGTCACCGTAAATCACAAGTACTTTTCGTAATTTTTCTCCCCATATTCTCTTTCAGCCTCACCACAAGTAAAGTTAATACATTTCCCAAGCCCAAGTTTTTATCACAAAGCAGTCTAGTTTCAACATCAAGGCTAATCTTTATATTAATTTACTGCATTAAGTTCTCTTGCCAAGTGCTCAGAGTGATGGGTTCCCAAAACACACTTGAGATATGTATTTAACCCAGAATGTTCACAAGCAAGACAGAGACCCAGTGCCCACTTATCTGAACTCCTACTTGGGTTTTCTCTACCAATTCCTGAACTTCTGAGTAACAAGAAGGGTAAGCATCCTAACAAGCATGCTCTGCAGCTCTAAGGTGGCTTTTGGAAAGTGTGTCTAAGTGCTATTGTAATCCAAGCTTAAAACTCCTCCTTGGAAGCAGGAGCTGCACGTAGAGTGCCGCTTTACTCCAAATACTTCAAGAACCGTGTCTTTTTACCTCCCAAGCCTCTTGAGCTCGTATGTGGGGCACGCCTCTAAATTTTCCCTCTCGTTTCCACAAAAATCAAGAACAGTGTTCTCAATCCAACTCTTCCGTTTTCATTATGAACAGACTCTTCTAGCTCCATGTAGCCAAGGTCTCAGGGCTGTGGCATCAAGTATCAGTCCCCTGACCCTCAGGAGACCGCGCAGCTGAACAGGAGTCACACTGCATGGACATCGACTGGACAAGGATGCAACTTTTGCATAATTATTAGATTTTTTGCCCCTAAAGCCCTTCCCCTTTCAAACTTCCCCTAGCATAATTCTCAAAACGCTGAAATAAACACATTCCACGGGCTTTTTTGCAAGCAGGTTTCAAGTGTCCTAGGAAAGCGCTGTCTTAAGGAAAAGCCTAGGCTATCCACTTGGTTTTCAAGTGCCCTCAAACCAGTCTATTACTCAGACAGAGCGAACATTTGTTAGTCATTAGAGATAAGGCATCTCGTGCTCTGGGGCTGAGGGAAGGGAGAGGCCAACAGAGGACCTGGCTTGGAGGGGAGATAGAGTCCAAAACAACACACCCAAACCGGCCTGTGTTAAAGAGTCGTACTTTCCAAAGTCAACTTCTGGTGCAAACGGAGGGAAACAATGTTTCAATGGGTGCTGAAGTTTAGACGCATCCACAATCCTGCACCCGGGGGAAACTAACCCAGGGACTCACAGGGACTCCAGGTGAATGAACGAGCGGAGGAATTTGCCAGGTTGGGTTACAGAGCCTGTGCAACAACTCCAGGTGCTCAGTTACAGCTCAGTTACAGCTCAGAGCCATCTTCCCTCACAGCCTCTGGCCCGGGTGGTGTGCAGCCTGGCATAGATAAGAGGGGAACCAGGAGAGAGAAAAAAGGGGGAGAAAAGGGCCTTCCCCCCAGAGTGTCCAGACCTTAGGTCCCTGAGTGGCCCCTCCCTCAGAGAACCCCTGACACCACCCCCCCCTCCCACAAGCCTTCGGCAGCCGGCTGTTACCTCTCTCTCAGGGGCGCCCCATACACACCCATTCGGGGAGTTGCTTCCGGACCTTTCTCGCCCTCCTCCTCCTCCCCCGCCCCCCAACAGTTGTAAGACCATTCCCAGAGGCCCTCGGTGACCCCGGGGAGAGGCCACCATCTGGCAATCTCAGCAGCTGCTGCCCCAGGAGGAGCAGAGGACACCTGACCGCCGGCGCCCCGCAGCCCCACGCGCACGCCGCCCCCGCGCCTCCCTCCGTCGCCATGGCAACCGTCCCCCTCCCCGCGTGACGCCGGCACGCGGGGCGTCCCTGGGGGGACCCGGCAACAAGTCCCCCCGCGCGCGACCCACGGCCTCCCTTCAGTCCCGGCCCGGCCCCGCCGCCCCGCGCCCGGCCCAGCCCCGCCCGGCCTGGCCGCACTCACTTGATCCTGGAGCCCATGGTCCCCGGGCCTCCTCATGGGCCCGCGGGCCGCTCGGCGCTGCGCTGCCTGCCCGCCCGCCCGCGGCCGACCGGCCTCCCTCCGGCGCTCTCCCCGCCCCTTCCTCCCGTCCCTCAGGCAGGGCCCGCCCGCTCGAGGCTCGCTCCCTCGCAGGCGCCGCCGCCGCCGCCGCGCCTCCCGGGGTTAATGTTCCAGCTCCAGCCCGGCGAACGCCACGGTCCCCGGCGCGCGTGCCCGGCGCGCGCCGCCCCCGCCGCCCCTCACACCGCCGCCCCCTCCTTCCCGCGCCGCCGCCGCCCGCAGGGGCTGCCGGGAAGTGTAGTCCGCTCCCCGGAGGTGGGGCCGCCCGAGGGGGGGTGTGGGGACCGCACTTCCGCCCACTGACTCTCAGAGCTCCGTGTATCAGCCCTTCCTGGTACAGGCCCTTACAGAGCTCCAGCCCCCTAATCTCCTATAGAAAACTCTACCTGCAACCAACCCCCTTGGGAAGAGGCCCTGCCCCCCCAATCCCATAGAGACCCCAAGCTCCCCTAAAGAAACCTTCACCCATTCCTCCCTTATGGAGTTCTCCCACCAGTAGCTCTGGTGTTAGAGGTATCTGTCTCCCACTCAGGCCTTCATGAAAACACAAGTTTTCCCTTAAATAATCCCTTACCTTCCAGTAAGTTCCTTAAGGGATCCACAGTCTCTCTTCTCTATCACACCATCCACTTCCCTCCCCAGCATGGTTCCTGATGGTGGCCCCTTCCTCACCCCTTAGGCCTTGAAGGAGACCTCCCATACCCATAGGAAAGCCACCTGGGGTTTCATAGGACCTATTTTTAGTGGTTCTGCTCTGCCTAATCCTTGAGGGTTTTTGTCTCCCTTTATTGGACATTTGGGGGCTCCTATACAGAAAGCACATGTTACCATAGCAGTCCCTGATACTGATAAAGATTAGCTCAATGTAAATGAAGGTATTTAAGAGTGAAGATCACCAACCTGCTACCTACTTCTGCTTCCCCTTGGGGCTCACTTTCAAGCGCACCCCAATAGCATCTCCTCTAGGCAATAATGACATAAAAGAAGCAATAATGACAGCTACCATTAGCTACTGTTCAATGAGTGGGTGAGTCTGTGTTCTCCCTGAACCAGGCGCATTTCCCACACCAATTGGTTTGCACCAGTCCTCAAAATATTCTTGGGAGTTTAAACCCCATTTCATAAATGCATTCCACGGTTACCTAACTAGCACAGGTTCAGAGAAGAGATTGGCATCCAGCTGAATAAGTCCTGACACATGTGACATAACTATGCTTAGAATGATGACACCTTTGGCCATAAGTCAGAAGACACAGTATGTTCATAGTTCACTTTTGAAATCAGGCCTTTCTTTCAACCATTTTCTGTTCTGAAATACCCTTTATTCCTTCTGCAATTTAGCTTTTATAAATTCAGTGTCTCTCTCGCCCCACAGTCACTACAGTAACTGGTTCTAGGCCCCAGCCAGACAGGAAGCAAAGAAAGCAAAAAATCCTTCTTTTAGATTTACATTCTGGTTAAAGATCATTTCTCTCTGATGTCTATGCCCTGAGGTTGTTGATGGCAAAAAGGTGAACTTTTTTAATATTAAAACACAAACATTGAAAATCTTCCAAACTGCCATTTTGAATTCAAAGTCTTTTGCACCCAGACACCAACACTGACTTATAAACACCCCCAGGAGCAAAGGTCTACCAGACTGGCAGGGCCTCTGTAGTGTTTATTTACCTTGTTTTCTATGAACCTTCTCCAAGGAACGGTTGTTATCAAGATCTTCCCTGGAATGAGCAGCCAGTTCAAAAGCTCTGTGCAGGAGTCTATAAATACAGTTTCTTGGTGAAGAGTAAAGCTGGATGCTTTTCAAAGGAGGTTGTAGCCATCCTGGCCACAAAAATGTCTGAGAGCCTGCTTGAAAATAGTGGTGTTGGTGGTGTTGGTGTTGATGGTGGTGGTAATGGTGTGTGTGTGTGTGTGTGTGTGTGTGTGTAAGACTGGAGTGGAGGTGGCCTCTGAGACTGCAGGGTGGTCTGGGGAGAGAGCACTGAACTGGAGTCTGGCTTCTGATGTTGTCTGCACCACTGACTAGCAGAGACATTTTAAGTACTAGGTATGCTAGCTGCTAATGCAGATTTTGTAATCAAAGAAAACACAATAATTTCCAGAGAAACAGCAAAAGTGCTGTATTCAAAATAATGTCCATCACTAGCTACACATTTCCCCCATCTTTCAGGTAATTTGTGGATACTGTCCCAATAGAACTTTTCTTGCTTTGAGGCAAATCATTCAGAGACCCAATTTTCCACTTCTTCGTACGTTTTGAAGTGTTGCTCAGAAAGTGCATGTGCCATCGATAGGAACAAGTGGTAATCTGAAGGAGCAAGATCTGGTGAATACAGCAGGTAGGTTAATACTTCCCAGGCAAGATCTTTTAACATGTTTTTAACTGGTTTTGAAGTGTGTGATGGTGCATCATCATGAAACAAAACTACTTCACAGTGTCTCTTGGAATATTCTGGTCATTTCACGATCAAAGTGTGGTTCAAACTGATTGTTTTTGGTAGCAATCAGTATTAATAGTTTCCCCTGTGTGTGTCTTTTAATTTTTTTTAATTTCTTTATTGATTAAGTTATTACATATGTGTCCTTATCCTCCCATAACCTTCCCATTCCCCCATTTATGCCCTCACCCCCTGTTGTCTGTGTCCATTGGTTAGGCCTATATGCATGCATACAAGTCCTTTGGTTGATCTCTCCCCTTTACCCCCACCCTCCCCTATCTTCCTTCTGAGGTTTGACAGTCTGATCGATGCTTCTCTGGTTTTAGAAGTTCATAATACACTACATCTTCCTGATCACAGAGCACTGTCTTCTTTCTGAAGTGATTTGGCCTTGCAGTCGATGTTGATACCTGGATCAACCCATGATTTTGTGCATTTGGGACTCTTAAAATAAATCCACTTTTCATCACCAGTCACAATTTGATGCAAAAAAGACTCTTTTCCATGCCGTTGAAGCAACATTTTACTGATGACTTTTGTTTTCCATTTGTTTTCCATTCAGTTGATGTGGCAACCATTTTCCTTCCTTTAAAATCTTTCTTATTGCTTGTAAACAATCAGAAATTATTTGCTGAGCAATATATAATCTTTCTGCAAGCTGTTTTTGAGTTTGACATGCATCTTCATCCAATAATGCTTGTAATTGGTCTTCAAACTTTTTCGGTTGATCTGGACGTTCTTTGTCTTTCACATCAAAATCATCACTTTTAAAGCATTTAAACCAGTGTTCACAAGTATCTTGAGATGGAGCATGTTCACCATTAGCTTCCTGAAGTATTCAGTGTCACTTTTCTTCAAAATAAAGTAATGAATTAAAACTTCCCACAAATGTTCTTTTTTTTGGATGAAATTCAATATTAAGCGTAAAAATATCTATATCAAATTATATATATATATATATATATATATATATATATATATCAACATATGTGTAACTCTACCTATTAAAAAAATTCTGCATTATTAACTGGTGCACCTAGTAAATAATTAGACAACTGTCTGCTTCAGTTTCCTCCTTGATAAAATGGGTATAGAGGATGACAAGGAGCTCACTTCATAAGACAGCGTAATGTAGGAGCTAAGAGTGCAGGCAGTGAAACCAGACTGGCTGGGCTCAAACCTGAGCCCTACCTCTTACTAAAATAAATGTGCCCTTGGGTAAGTTATTCACAATCTCTGTGGCTCTGTCTGTAAAATGGAAATTATGGTAATAGATCTATCTTGACATGAGAATGAAATGAGTTAATGACACTCATCAAGTACTTAAATAGTGACTGGGACATAGTGAGTACTCAAAAATTATCAGAAACTGTTATACACAAGGTACTTAGCAGTTTGCCTTTAATCATTAACTAGAGGCCCAATGTATGAGATTCATGCAAGGAGCTAGGCCCTCGCAGCCCTAGCTGCCTCGGCCCTCGCAGCCCCAGTTTCATCTACAATAGAAGGTCATCTGGAAGGTCATCCAGATGGTCGTTCCACTGCCATCCAATCTAATTAGCATAATATGCTTTTATTATTATAGATAGTCATAATCTTCATAATAAATAGTCCTATACTTGGATTCAGAGGCCTGAGTTTCCACCCTAGAATGTAACTGTTTCCATTCTGAATCAGAGAGAATTCAGTTCAATGTAAAGGACAGAAGACTGAGATAACAGTAACTGCAAAATTAGAAGTTTATTTCTCTTCCACATTAGGTCTGGAGATGAACATTCTAAGGCTGGCATATCAATTCCATAATGCCTACTCTCAGATATGAAGGCTTTGGGACAGGACAGGGCAGCTGATTTGGCCTTGTGGTTGGGTATATTGTGCATCAGCTTATATACCTGTCTTCTATACCTGTCACACTGTGACCTCCTTGAGATCGATGACCCAAAATTTTTTATTACAACTCTGCTCTCCTCCAAATGCAGCTTCCACCTCCTGATCCAGGATGGCTGCTTGAACTCTAGCTATCTAATTCACAACCAAGAAGCTAGCAAAAGGAAGGAGGTCATGCCTCACACCAACCCTAATCTTCAAGGATACTCCCGTTTACCTTCCATTGGCCAGAGCAGGTCATACAATAACATCTCGCTAGGAAATAGCCTTTATTTCAGCTAATCATGTGCACAGTTCCAGGGGTGGTGAGTCTTTTCAGAGAATCAGGGAGGACAGATACTGCAAGACAGCTAGCAGTCTCAGCCAAGCCATCCTTGGCTATGTGACCTTGAGCAAGACACTATCTTTGAGCCTCAGTTATCCTATATCCAAAGTAAGAGAAACAGACCAGACCTCTGTCTAAAGTCCTTTTCAGGTATAGAATGCTACAATTTCAGTGCTTATTGTTTTATATTCCCACTAAACTTAGTTGAATCTGATGTTATTTAAATAAAAGGAGACCTCTCTGCCAGGTACATAACATAGCCAATAGTTGGAATTGAAGCCTCCTGGAGATGAGATGGGCTTTTAGGAACTTGTCTTCTCGACTGTTGTCAAAATGGGCTAACTAAACAAATCTGGCAGATAAAAAGTCCAGCAGCGTGCTTAATACCACCTGCGCAGACACTTTGATGCTCCTCAGTTTCCAAGCTTGCCCTCACTCCCCTCTTCCTGTTGTTTTTCTTTTTTCTTTTCTTTTTTCTTTTTTTCTGCGTAGGGGGCTGTGATTACTAAAAGGAGGACA